AATATGCTTTCGGAGTCGTATTTGTCCTCCGGACTTTAGGCTGGAGACCCTGATTTAGAATTACTATCCAAAACAGACATTTTTAAACAATTGGGTTTTAAGATAAAATGAAAAATTAAATGTTTTTAAGAAAATTTGACGAAAAGTTTAATTTTAAAAAATCCGCCATATTTACCAGGAAACTTTATCAGTAATGAACCTCATAAAATTTCCTGGATTATAGATTTACATTATAGATTGTTATATCTGTGCTGTATTAACTGTAACCAAACATCAATCAATTTAACGAATAAAAAGTTCGAGAAGACAAAAACATCAATAATTTGCGTTTTTGATAAATAGTACTTTTTAAATATCAAAATAAATTCTATAAAGACCTATACATTCCCAGTATTTGTATGTCCTTCGTTAATATCGAGAACGGAGTTAGATAGATGAAAATTGAGACTAGATGCGAAAAACTTAGGGGCCGGAGAGCTCAATTAAGTATCAATATATACGAACTTCTGGTCTGGACCGGAAGTTACATGTTTTTTTAATTGAAAGATTTTAAAAATTACATAACTCTCGATAAATGGTTGTTCGTTTAGTTTACGTTTATCTAAGAAAATAATAATAAATTAGATGGATTTTCATTATTTTAATATAATGATAAATAAATATTGAAATACTGTATCACCATTAAATATAATATTAAAATTAACTTTAAAAAATCGCAACGTTATTTTTCTTTAATATAATTATTATAACTTTATACGATTAATAGTTAAAGATAAAATTTCTATTTAGTTGGCAATAAACATAAAAAAATACTATCATTCGTGACGATAAAATTATTATTGAATTATTGCTTAAATTATACATCAATCTATTCTGGATCTCCAGAAAGCTTTTTTCAATATTTCAACGAGGAAAAAAGCATTTTGAAGTTTATAGGAGTAGAAAATCTTTTAAAGGAACAGTTATTAAAAAACCATAATAAAAAAAGATTAAGTTGAAATGATAAGAACTGGACTTCAACAAATAAAAAGTAATTTTCCTGATAAAATACTGTAAGAAGTGATAGGACTTCTAATCGGGCTTCGACGTAAAAAAGCGAGCATTTCTCTAATGTATAAATTCAAAGGTGATGTCTAAACAGAAAAATAAATTATATAACAAAAATTATTTTATCGAAATTATCTTATTACAGCTGGATTTAAATACTTGCTGAAGGATATGTGAATTGCATAAATTGATATTTTGATATAGTAGGTTATCATAAATTTCAAGGAAACAACTTTTAGGATAGCGACTTTTTAAAACAAACTATTCTTCAAAAATTCAAGATATCAGGTAAATGGGCATTAATGACATTGCAATTTTCTTGGCATTCATTAAAATTTATTGGCTACACTTAAAATTAAGTGTTGAAATATAAATTTTACGACTGAAGATAAGTTGAAATTCGGCTAAAAATGTATATTGTATAAAAAGCATGTATTACAAATTAATCCTAAAACGACATTAGGTTACTTAATTTACTGAGTTTCCTATAAGAAATAATTAGTCCAAAATAATCAAGGCATCTTTATTTCATAAATTGCAGTTCAATAAACGACTGTGAAATGAAAAGGAAGTTATATGTTAAGATTGTCGCAAAGCAACCTGAAACGCCAGTAGACTGCTGAAGGCAATCGGGGACAGAGGTTTATTGTATATAAGCTTTCTAAACATATTCATATTTATATACTGTGTATGTAGGTTAAAAATTTTACTTTCAGATTAAATAATATTGATTTTACATTTGTGTACTTTATACATTGCATTAATACAAGATACTGATCACTAGACTAAGACATAATTAAAAATAGATCAGCAATACTATTCAAGTATTTTTGATTAAAATTATTGATTTTAAATTTTTATATTGCAATATTATGTTTACATAATGGCCAATGATATATCTAATTTATAATTTTTATTAAAATCATAAAAACGTAAATAATAATTTTTGATTTTATTTGAAAAACCCATTACCAATAAAACTCAATTAAAACAACATATCGCCATTAAAGTATTGTAATCAAAAATATAAACAAGATAATAAATGCGTTTAGGCTAATTAGTTAATATCAATATAGAGTACAATATTTTCGATAAGCTGATTAGGTTAATTATATCTTTAATTAAATGAATTAAATGAAAATAAGTAACGAAATTTTAACATTCTAGAGGCAATTAATTATCTCTAGAGTGTTTAAATATTTTTTATATAATTAAGTTTTAATTGGGATAAATACCGATAATGAACTGTTTTGCAAGTAGTATTAAATATTTAATGTTATTCAGATTACGAGTATTAGTGGAACTTAATTCTTTTGTATTAAATTACTGTTTAAATAATCTCTTTTGCTTGTCCAATCATTTGTTTATTTCAGCCCTTAAAATTAATAATTAAATATGTCAAAAATTTGAACATTATAACTTTATCTGTTTACATGAAATAACTGAATTCAGCTATTTCATAAAAACAGTTAGCCCAGTTAACTGTTCTGGGGGACCCTGAATACGAAAGGTCGAAAAACCCCAAGAATGTTTTGGGAGTAGTCTGTCCCAGATATTTAAGGCCCTATTTTTCATTATCCGGCCACCCATTGTGGCCCTAGCCGAATTCATAATGACCTTGAACGAAGGTCTTAGTGTCCACAGGATCGAAACAACTTTTAAAAAAATTAACGTAACTACTAGAAGGTTGAAGATAATTTAATTTATGTTGTGAGTTAAAAATTAAGTAATGCAATGTATTTAATTAAAGAAAATATTTTTCTCTATCATCTTTACAGAAGATCTCTATTAATCCTAAAAATTTAAAATACGAACAATCAAAAACTTTGGATGTCTTCTATAGCCATAATAGAAATATGGTATATTTAACACTCCTGAAAAAATGCCGAAAACAGAAAATAAAACGCTTTTAACACAATAAACCCCCCCTAACTCGGACTTCGCATAACTCGGACAAAATTTCAAAATAGTAATTTAAAATTTCTTAAGTTCTTACTGTCATTTAACATTTCTTAACAATAGAAAAATTATAATTAATCAGTGTTTTTGATATTCTGAAGTCTTTCAGATGCCGTATATTATATTACTGTAATCGATAAGTTATTAAAGACAGAACATTGCTGTTTACTAAACTGTCATAAAATTTTTTGAGTTCATTTCTTGTAGTAATAAATTCAGAAATATAATTTACTAAAGCTCAGTAAAACTTTGTAAACTCGGACAATCTTCATCCCGTTAGTTCGAGTCAGTTGCGATTTACTGTATATGTAAACATTATTCTAAATGTATTATTGCGGTTTATAATTTTCTAGAATTAAACGTTATAGCATTTTTAAAAATCAGAATACGTCTGTTACCAATACTTGGTTACATAATTACAGTTAATTATAAAAAGAAGAATCAATAAAAATTAATGCTATCCACAATGTTAGAACAAATTACTTGGAAAACACCGATAAGTATTAAAATTGCCAGTGGAGTGAAAATTATAATGACTGTTTATGATTGTAAAACAATTTTCCTTCAATTAACCATTTTTTGTTTTTGAGATTACTGTTGTTCGGTGAATGCAGTCAAGTATGCAATGAGTTTGACAGCTCTGAAAGTTTTTATGCACTTGCTAATCGATAATATTTTCTATTTTTTAGGGTATTGCTTAGAATCGAACTTTCCATAAGCAAAACTATAATGTTATCAAAACTTTGGAGCGAATATCTCGTGAAGAGTCACTTTTACGAGTTAGAACTATGATTCTTATGAATTTTTGGTTGAATAGATGAGTCGACAATCTGAAAGATCCACAGTCTTATTTTAGCTAGAATATTATTAATTTATTTTCATATGTAAAATATTACTTTTTATTGTAAATACGATTATATTTATTTACAGTTTTGACACAATGTGATCATATTTAAGAACGGGATATTGTTATATTACGAAATTTTATTAATCTTTTCGCAAAGTTAGAAACTACGATTTACGATATGCTTACGTCTGAGAAAGTTAGCTTAAGAATCTTCATTAAAGAGCAGAAAAATTTTAAAGAATTAACTCTATAGTTATGTTTCTCTTTTTTCATTATCTTAGAGTTTGATTTAAAAGCATGCAGAAAGTTATTTGTTAAGTTAATAGATTCATGAAAGCATACTCACTTTTAATTCTTTTCCTGTTATTTTTGTCAGTTTAATTTTTCATTGTTTAAGTTTAAACTTATTTTTGATAAATTTTTGTAAAACTTCATTTTTAAAGTTTATTATTTTTATGCAAATTGTCTTTCGACTTAAATTTAAAATATGTCATAACTTTAATACATTATTGTTATTAATTTTGTGAAAGTTAGTTATTTTCTATACTAACTTTACTCGACATACATTTTAATAATCAATTTTTCTAAATTATATTACTTTGCACATTTGCATATTGTTCAAATGTTTACTTAATAATTAAATTTGTCTCTACAGATATTAAGACTTTTAGAACTATAAACTGAGAAAAAGTTCTTTTCATTAATAAGACACCTCGTTAAAAATGCATTAGATATGTATAATAATTACTGCTACTGGAGATTTCGACAGATTTCAGGTGGAGCTTTATACTTCTACAATTAGCCTCCAGTGATAGACACGTGTATGTATAGACGAGTTAGATTAAATTTTGTTGTGTTTACATTTATTTTTTAAATTTTAATTATTATAAATTATTCATTATATTAAAGTCCGAAAATTCTCAAGCCAATAATCGATGTAATTAACATCATAAATCTTGCGAGTAACTTGAAGACATCACAAAAAGTACTAAAATATTAAATACAAAACACATTTGTAGAATGCTGCTTATTAAAATCTCATTAAAACGAAATGCAAATTATTTTTCTGACGATCATTTGTAAATTTCACGAAGTTCGAATAAATGTAATAAAAGATGATAACTGAAGAGCCATTTCTTTTCAACATGTAAAGCTAGTTTTAGAAAATGTGATAGCAGTATATTTGTACTTGAATAAATAATAAGGTAGTTAAGTTACATTTATATACGAGGCAGTTTCAATAAATAAGATTTGTAGCTCTGTTATAGAAAAATAACATAGTATATAAGGTTGACATTAATAATAGTAAAAGAGTATACAGTAATTCAGCCCACTCTTCTAGGTCGCATTTGCGTTCACTACTTGGTTTACAAAATGGTGTCACGCATATCAAACTGCATCAGACTCGAAAAGCGAGGTGTTATTCGTTTTTTGACAGACATTAAAGTAACAAATTACAGATATCCATTTCAGATGGTATGAATTATATGGAGAATAATGTATGTCACTGGAAAACGCTTGTAAGTGGATTTAAAAATTCAAGGAAGGCCAAATAATTATAATGAGCGGCGTAGACTTGAACCCAAACTTTTTGTAGCGACGTACACGATTCGCCATATTCTATATACATCCTGAGATGGATCTCGCTAAATCTAATGTCTTCGGCTGTCAAAAATCGAATAACAGCTCGATTCTGGTGCAGTTTTATATGGGTAACGCAATACTAACCTTATTTATTGAATCTGCTACGTGTGTTAAGATATAAAATGTCATAAATGACAGTGCAATCATATTTTTATTTTTATATCAATTCGAAAAATAACTTTTCATTTCTTAATGCGTCTTATCATTTATAGGAAATCTCAATTATAAAAAGATATTGATGCAGTCATATTTTTGCCTTTTGATGTGAGCACATCTTTTGCTTTTTTAATTTCATATTTTAAAGATATTTTGCAAATAGTAATTTTAAAACAATTACACTCGAAACTCTATTACCCTCTTAATAATTTCCAAGTACCACCAGGACGGTACTCGAATGAAAATGCCAATATAATCTATGCGATGTTTATCTGAAATTTATTCGGTTATAATAATCATTAGATGTAGCTTATTTTTGCTTATAAATTGAATATTTTATTTCATTTAAATTTATCAAACGAACAATTACTGTTTGTTTTTAGCATTTTTAAGTGCATAGAATATAAACAAACAAAGCATTCATAAAATTTCTAATACTGTATTTTTCATAGTTTTTTCCATTGTTTCATTCTCCCAGTGAGTACTAACAGAACCTTTTTCAGACCCATCGTAGGTTCAGTAGCCAGGTGATGAGGAACGAAGCCCGACATATCTGGGGACTATCATCTCGAAAAACTGTTGCAGTTGCTTGCTAGGCTGGTCTCTAGAGCTGTATGCTTACATCTAATTCTGATAAATGAATGAATGAGTTGATGCAATGAATTGACTTATTAGTAAAAGTGTTTCGGTGAGTCGGTTCTTCCTATTACGTTTCGAAACATCGACTCAAGTTTAGTGTGCTGCTCTCGTATACTGAAACTTCATATTAATTAATAAGCTTGAAAACATGGTCCTGTAAAGTGTTAAATTTGTGGAATGTTATTAATGCAGTCGCACATTACATTCATTGGTTGCAATTTGTATGCGTGTGTTTTCATGTAATGACTCATTTTATATTGAGTTATTCGAACGTTTCAAAATACTCAAATAAATCATTTTGCACAACGTTACTCGTACTTTAACCATCTCGGTCATCTGAGTAAATTTTTATTGATTGGATGCTAACATTTTATACAATAATCATGAAGTATATTTGTACTTTATTGAAAATATTTTGAAACAGTAAACATTATAAGATAAACCAAATACAGTAGACCCCCCCTATAACGCTTAGATACGTTCCACGCTAACCGAAAATTACGTTGTAGGAACGATTAAATACATGAGCCAATCGCAGCCCGATAGGTGGGAACTTTACGGACTAAGGCTGTTCGAAAGGTTTTCTTCTATAAAATTAACCGATTCTAGACTAATTCGACTCAACATTTCCAAAACACGTATAATTTTTTGGGAGTAATCCGTATAAACTATGCTATAAACAAAAAATTATAGGATTACTTACCGAGTGTGTACCGTTCGACTACGCCCGTTGTTCAAAGCTTGTCTTCGTCGCGGAACAGCACACGAAACGGCGGCCGCGATATCTGATAAATAATTTATCGCAGAAAGATAACTTGACCTTTGGAGACATCATTAATATAAATAATTTTTATGGCCGTTGAATAAGAAGTGTTTCTTTCACAAGAAATGTATAAAATTAGTGCTGTATTAGACTTACGGTACCTAATTTACATACTGTGCAGACGATAATAAACTCAACTTACTAGCCTAAAATCTCCGTAGCGTGTTGCCAGGCGGCAGAAAGCATATATATAATTATAATAAAGTTACAATAAATTAAGTTAATATATAATTATATATACAGTACCTAATTTATATATAATTATATGTACAGTACCTAATTTATATATAATTTATATATAATACTAAACAGACGATAGCAAACTCAATTTAGCCGCTCTGTAGCGTGGCGCAGGGTCGGAGGAAAGTAGTTCGGCTGCTCATCCACTATTGGTGCAGACTCTATCAATCTTGTCGCGAAACGACGTTATAGGAGGTATTTTATAGGAAAGTTTCTACAATTTTTTCGCTACGTTATAGGAATTGTCGTTATAGGAACGTACGTTATAGGGGGGTCGACTGTACTGTACAATATTTTCTGTCGTAAGTGTGAATGCATTTAAATCGACAAAATCAAATAGCTTAGCACTTCATGATATAACTGCAAAAGATCTAATGCTATCTTAGAGATTAAATCTTAATCAATACCTCTTATCGAACTAGACATTATGTTTTGACAATGTCAATTAATTTATCTTTCAAAGAATGCATATTCATAGTCAATTAAAATGTAAATCTATTCTATTTGATTTATAATTGACATCATTAATTTTATATGTATCAGTGAATTTGATTAAATTTCTCTCGGTTATCTAACATTTAGTAATTGAAATCTACGATTTCATCTTAGATCATTTTCATTATGATTGGGCTGCAATTTGAAAAAAATTGTAGATCGATAAATTCTATTGTCGTCCGCCTGTCCGTGTGTCTGTCCGTCTGTATTTCCTTAGTCTCGAAAACGGCGTCAGAGAAATGAAATTAAAGAGGAGAGGTAGAAAAAAGCTTAGGGACAGTAGGCCCCGATTATATATGAACTCACGATCTAGGCTGGAAGTCATGTTAATTGAATTCAAATCTTTTCCCTGAAAGAAGTTAGATGGATGACAAGCACAATTCTACTATTAAAGGAAAAGTATGATGTACTGTACAAGAGCAAGACACTACTAATATTAATACCTGTACTAATTTGAGGTGAAGAGTACATATTTTAAATTAAATATTAATAAATTTAAAAAATAATATTAAAATTGCAGCCCAGCATTATGACGATATCACAACAAATAATTGCCCGTTAAGATACAAAACTTTCTCAATTATTTTTTTAAATATTTTATTGAGTTTAAGTAAAACATGTATTTGAATAGAAGTTCTTACTCTCAATTAAAAAATATTTCTGCTGAATTATTTCAAATGATGTATTGAAAAAACTTGTAAAATTATATTCCTTTTTAGTAATGATTGATTTTTAAAAATTTAGTTTGATATTTAAAATAATTATTGCAGTAAATGATTATTAATTAAATTTCAACAGAAATAAAAATTTATATTTCCAGGAGTAATAATTTTCGGTTCTGATCAAGAGGTTGCTGGAGTAATGAGAGCAATTCGCAGGAACAATGCAACAGGAACTTTCTCTTGGATAGGCAGTGATGGATGGAGTGCAAGGGCTCTGGTATTCGAAGGTAACGAAGATCAAGTGGAAGGTACTCTTTCTGTACAGCCAAGAGCACATCCGGTGAAAGGCTTTGACGAATATTTTCTTAGTAGAACGGTCTATAATAATCGAAGAAATCCTTGGTTTATAGAATATTGGGAGCATTATTTTAATTGCCGATGGCCAAATAGCACAGATACTCCATTCAATGGAAATTATACTCGGTTCTGTACTGGGGAAGAGAAAATGAACTTTGAAAATGGTTACGAACCAGAAGGTCAACTTCAATTTGTTAGTGATGCGGTATTAACTTTTGCTTATGCATTGAAAAGAATGCACCAAGAATTATGTCAGGGGAAATCTGGATTATGTCAAAGAATGAAACCTATTAATGGCACGATTTTATTAGAATATTTAAAAGTAATATCTTTTACAGGTAAAGGGAATAGTTATATTTTTATTAGAATATTTAAAAGTAATATCTTTTACAGGTAAAGGGAATAGTTATATTAAAATAAAACAGTTATATTAACAAATTTATAATTAAAACACTTTAATTTTTTAATAGGTATGAGTGGAGATAAATTTCGTTTTTCTCCATCTGGAGATGGTCCTGCCCGTTACAATATAATTCATTTCAAGCAAATATCTTCTGGAAATTACAAATGGATTCAAGTAGGGGAATACAAAGATGGCGAACTCGAGTTGAATCTCTCTGAAATCAGATTTAGAATGGATAATCCGAATGTACCTATTTCAGTCTGCAGTCTACCCTGCAGAAAAGGACAAGCTAAGAAATTCTTGGAAGGAGAGAGCTGCTGTTGGCACTGCTTTAATTGTACTCGTTATCAATTCTTAAAAACAGAAACACTTTGTGAAGATTGTCCTCCAGGATTCTTACCAGATGCTGATCAAGCATCCTGCCTATTGATACCAGAATCGCATATGACACCTGGAAGTGCTCTAGCTTTGGGTGCTATGACTTTCTCTACATTAGGCGTCATATTAACAGGATTTTTCACATCAGTATTTCTGAAACATAATGATACTCCAATTATTAGAGCTTCTGGAAGAGAACTCAGTTATGTCTTATTACTTGGTATTTTCATGTGTTACATTATGACCTTTATTTTGGTGCAGAAACCATCCGATATTATCTGTGGCGTTCAGAAGACAGGTATTGGATTGTGCTTTGCTATCGTATACAGTGCCATATTAACCAAAACTAATCGCATTTCACGAATTTTTAATGCTGGAAAGAAAACTGTCAGTAAACCAGCATTTATATCTCCTCAATCTCAATTGATAATTTGTGGAGCATTGGTCAGTGTTCAAATTTCAATCACAGCTGTATGGTTGGTGTTTACTCCGCCTCGTGCTATTCACTCGTACCCTACAAGAGAGGAAAATCTTCTTGTATGTACAGCATCCATGAATGCTACATATATGGTGGCTTTTGCATATCCAATATTTCTGATTATTGTCTGCACCATTTACGCTATATTAACTCGAAAAATACCAGAATCATTTAATGAATCGAAATACATAGGACTTACCATGTACACTACCTGCATTATATGGTTGGCATTTGTGCCTATATATTTTACCACATCCTCCAATGTAAAAGTTAACATTACCTCTATGTGTTTGACGATAAGTCTAAGTGCAACTGTGACATTAGTGTGTCTCTTTACTCCGAAAATCTATAATGTGATCTGGCATCCGGAAAGAAATGTTCGTATGAGCATCATGAAACAAAAACAGAAATGTATGAATTCATTAGCTGCACCCGAAGCTTCTTCTCAACTTAATGGTTAGTATTTTGACAATCAAAATCATTCGTTATTTAATTAATAATCTACTAATAACTTAAATAATACAGTAGAGCATCGATTATCCGACTCAATTAGGGACTCAAGTTGGTCGGATAACTGAAAAAATCGGATAACCGAAAAGAATGAAAAAAATACATTATTAGTATAGTATATTAATATATCCCATGTAATTAGTATATTAGTATATCGCTGTTAACCAACTTCGCGTTGAATTTTCATCGATGTTAAGCCTAACAATTTTTTTTTAAATAATAATCGTCGCTATTGTATCGTTAAAAATTATTTTATTGCTCACAAAACAAACAACCACTCATAATTAGAAAATTAAGTCTCTTTTAAATACTGGCCTCCCTTCAATGGTCGAGCCGTGTTGCCAGCTAAAACACGCAAAAATTTATAAAAAATAATATTAAAGTAGCCAAGACATAGCCAAATATTGTAATGCCACATCACTAGCGGACATTTGAAATTTGCCGACTAGAACGGTCGGCTAACCGATGTGACGGTTAATCGGGGGTTGGATAATCGATGCTCTACTGTACTCATTTTCATAACATGTAAATTAATTAATTAAACGATGATTGACTCATTTTCTGAGTTTAATTTATAATTACAATATTTCGTAATATGGAGGATTTTGTAAGTGATCATTTAATAAACTGTTTCAATCTTCGCGATCGAAATGATAATGAACTAAGGTTGATGAAACTAAAATAAAAACAATTATGAAGTTATGTTGGAGATCATCTTTTAAGAAAACAAATATCTTTATAATTAAATCTTCCCAAAAGCTACCAAGTTTAAAATTAAAAAAGTTCTCTAATCAGACTATTTTTCAAAGTAAAAAATTATTAGTTTTAGTTTATAATTTAAAATTCTAGATGGATTTTAATTTTTGTAATGCAAATTNTATATCCCATGTAATTAGTATATTAGTATATCGCTGTTAACCAACTTCGCGTTGAATTTTCATCGATGTTAAGCCTAACAATTTTTTTTAAAATAATAATCGTCGCTATTGTATCGTTAAAAATTATTTTATTGCTCACAAAACAAACAACCACTCATAATTAGAAAATTAAGTCTCTTTTAAATACTGGCCTCCCTTCAATGGTCGAGCCGTGTTGCCAGCTAAAACACGCAAAAATTTATAAAAAATAATATTAAAGTAGCCAAGACATAGCCAAATATTGTAATGCCACATCACTAGCGGACATTTGAAATTTGCCGACTAGAACGGTCGGCTAACCGATGTGACGGTTAATCGGGGGTTGGATAATCGATGCTCTACTGTACTCATTTTCATAACATGTAAATTAATTAATTAAACGATGATTGACTCATTTTCTGAGTTTAATTTATAATTACAATATTTCGTAATATGGAGGATTTTGTAAGTGATCATTTAATAAACTGTTTCAATCTTCGCGATCGAAATGATAATGAACTAAGGTTGATGAAACTAAAATAAAAACAATTATGAAGTTATGTTGGAGATCATCTTTTAAGAAAACAAATATCTTTATAATTAAATCTTCCCAAAAGCTACCAAGTTTAAAATTAAAAAAAGTTCTCTAATCAGACTATTTTTCAAAGTAAAAAATTATTAGTTTTAGTTTATAATTTAAAATTCTAGATGGATTTTAATTTTTGTAATGCAAATTTAAAAATTCAAACTAGAAAATGAATTTAAAATGTCCTTAAATATTAATTTAATTTATTGCAGTTTGTTAAGAATACTTTTCTTATTAATTACAGTGTCTTTTAATTTATAACTTTAATCTGACTTTATTGTAGCGAATAAATTCATTTTGGAAAATAATAATTTAAAAAGTTAGAACCAAATTTAATCTTACAGTTTTTTGCTTGGTAAGAAGGCTGTTGCCGGTTCTCTAAATCTCTAAACGATACTGCTAAATCTATTTTTATTGATTTTTCATATAGATTTTCTTTAATTTTATTTGATTATTTATTTCATGTGGTATGTTACTTTTTTAAATTTTATACTTTTTAAAGTGCTTGTCTTTATTTATTAATAGATACTTATCTGATACCTACATATCTTATGAATTCAAAACTTTATAAACTATTTTTTTCAATTTCCAGCAACTAGTTATATGATTTTGATACATTTTTCATAATTTGTATAAATTAGGTTTGTACGACTTACAAATTTATAGACATCGCTAACAATTATTTAATAAGATTAAAGTATTAAATATTAATATCTATAACGACTAAAAATATTTTATATCTATTATTATTTCAATATAGTCTAGTTTCTTTGCAACTTATTATCTAAATCGATCCAATCGTCATGTGTCGTGATCACTCACGACATAAACGTGACGATTGGATCATAGAATTAGTAATTATAGAAGTCGCTTTACTTTATAAAATTATAGAAGTCGCTATACTTTATAAAATGTATAACCAGTGATATTAAAATATTAATTTTCCCACACTGTTTTATTATAAAATAAAACTTATCCAGTGGTTTTTGAAATAGTCCGTACCCCATGCATCAGGTGGCCTTTTGTTTATCATTTCATTTACTAACAAAAAAAGCATAAATAATTTACAAAAAATAAGAAAAAAATAAAACTTTTACACAAAAAACCAGAAATATAAACAGAGTGCTGTTTGATGTGTGTTTATATAAAAAGAAATATTCAACAAAAATATTCAAAAGTTAAAGATTTTTCAATAAATTGCATCAAAAATCTAAGTATAGGCCAATAGAATGAAATAAATTGACAAGGTGCCAAGAAATAGCTTTCTTCAAAAAATAAAAAGTTTTTGAAAAACGATATCAGAGAAGTAACAAGAATGACATTCACCTAACGATGCAAAGTGAAGTTATACAACTTTTGGGTTGCAATCACCTGTAAATCGATCAGTTTATTTTTTTCAGTCACTCACAAAATACTGATGTTCGTTTCTTTTTCACAGTTGCTACTTAAACCACGTACTGTTATTTATCAATTCCTAATGCAATAAAATAATTATCTATTTTTAAAAAACAATTTTAATAAATGTTACTTTGGATTTATTAGTTCCAATGAAAAATCTTATTTACTAAAATTTACATGAAAGCGAACAAATTTTGTAATTATGATATTTTAATATTTAAGATAATTAAAAACTAAACGTATAGGGTGACTTACTCGGAATTAAAACTTACTTTGTTTGAAAACTTATGATTGCACATTCACGTTTGAAAAAAGTGTAACGTAAAACAACTTGTCAATTGTTATGTTAAACAACCGTTCCATTCGTGTTTTATTTACACCTTTTTATTTTATATAAAGATATTCAAAATAAGTGTTCAGTCTCGAGTGAATCACCATATTTAAATAACTATGATTAATTATCGTATAGAGCAGGGGTAGCGAACCTATGACATGAGTGCCCAAAGTGGCACGTAAGGAGAAATCATGTCACGTAATGTACCATACGATTTCGATTTAAAATCTATCCTTTTCAATCATCCTCTCGGTTTATCACCTAATCGCCGTTTTTCAATTAGCTTTTTTACATTTATTCTAATTAAAGCATATTCGTTTAATTTCTTTAAATATTATTATCCGAAGTCTAAAACTTTGGCACCCATAAAATTTTTAAAGCTAAAGGCTTACCATATGGCACGCGAACTCATAAAGCTTAGCCATCCCTTGTATAATGTAAAGATTCTTTTCAGTTCTTTCTTGATATGATATAGGCCTACAATTTTACTTTTACAACGTATTTCTTTGAATATCTGTATCCATGAAATAATTCACATCGTATGGTAGATGGTACAGGCAATGAGATTGACACTCTGAGACATTTCATAATTTTTTATGAGCTATCTGCTTCGAATATTTCGTGCCTCATTCCTCAGCAGGCGGCCATTCTCTTTGTGGACCTGGTCGAACCATCCTGGATATGATTAAATGACTCTCTTTGGTCTTATAGGACAGAAATAATGAAAAATTAAATAAATCTATATAATATGCTAACACTCTGTAAAGTTTTATTTGAAATCCTCATTCTAGCTAGTTGCAAAGGAAGCGTCATTGTCACAAAATAACCTACATTTATAAAACCTATTCCACGAATACCGAAACGTAATGTAAATAAAGAACTTTAACCTAATCAAAAGAGAAATTAGCATTAAATAGTTTTGCATGATGCTATTCCAGTGTTGCTTTACGATTTGTATACATTAACATGCAAATTTACAATCGTCATATATTTAAAATCTCAGAAATAGTATCGCTAGATGTTATTTCTGAGATTTTATAGATACTATTTCTAAAATTTATAAAACAAAAATGCGAATCTAAATATCGTATATCAAAGAAAGATTTTTATTTTGTTTCTTTTAAATCATAGTTATTATAAGATAAAAATTTATCTCTAGACTTCCAAAATTTTTCAGTGAAAAATATGTTTGACGACGAAATGCGATAAAAATTTGTAATAAAATTATGAATAAGAATGAAAAGAAAATTCTCTTCTTGTCTACAGTTAGTGAGAAAATATTAACAAACTCATAAATCAACAAGAGGGAAAAAAACAGTTACTATCAAACGCTATTTTTTCCCCTTGCTTTTCTTTAATCTACGTAACGAGAATAAGTATAAAACATCAATTTTAAAATAAAGATGTAAGTTATAACTGAATAAATAAATTGAAAAATACGAATTACATGTAAACATAATAAAATCAATGAATTTATTTAATAAATTCATTGATTTTAATGGAAATAAAATGGAATAAATTAAAATACAATGAAAAACTTAACATGCTTTTTGTTCGATAGTTAACATCTAAAAATCAAAATAATAACTCTATAATTAAAAAAACAAACTTCTACAATTTAAAAAGTATATATTTTTTATTAAAAAAATTTAATGAATATTTATGTAATTACTGTATAAAATTGCTAAATTACTATTTTTAAATAAATTATCAAAACTATAAACAGATTACTTATCGAAATTAAAATCTAATAGTAAACTAATATTTTAAAGTCTTTATTCGTTTTTAATAAGCTTTTATTTATTTTTCATTTATAATTTTAATTAGAATACAATAATCTTTTAATAAATAGAAACTAAGTAATTTACGTTTGTTTTAAGCCATTATATTGTTTGCAACATAAGTTGTTAATTCGACAATAATCATTTCATATGTCAATTATTCGATAATAATTGAAAGTTATGTAAATGTGAGGATATTTAATATTGAGTTAGTACATGCTTTAATTAATGAAGTTATTAAAGAGAACATTCTCAATGATAGAATGGGTCAAATATTTTGTATAGAAGACTTTTTGCTATATGAAAGCTGTTTGTTTTCTGTAAAGATCTTATTGTAAAAATTCGTTTGTTTGAAATTAATAAAAATATTTTTTAGTTATAAACGTTTAAATTAAATTTATAAATTTAAGTATGCTGATTTAAAGCTGATAGAAGTATGCTGATCTATAAAATACAGTCCTTGTTTTATCTTTAATTTTACATGCAGAATATTTTTTCTTAAAAATCAAAATGAAGTTTATACTTTTTTTATCTTACAAACCACTACAAAGAACATATATGTATAGAATTGTCATAGATAACAAATCTATACATTTAAATATATGGTTATATACATTTTATGATCTTATATAATTTTATAGATGAATTATTATTTCATTTTGTGTAGAACTAATTGTTCTTTTCAAAATTTGATAAAACAGTTTTTCGAAATAATTTAACAAATAAAAGAACAGTAAATGTTCTTCCGTCTGGAAATGACATAAAACTTTCATAAAACATTATTAATAATTATTTTTAAGTATTTATTTTAGGAAGAAAACAATTTTAATTCTAAAATTAAGTAGAAAATGTTGCTATGGTCATAAATAAATTCTCAAAATGTTGTCTCTCATAAACTTTTTAATTGATTTTATTTACTTGTAGAACTTAGTTTTAATTATAAAATTAAAAAGTAAACATATCAATGTTAAAATATATTTGAAAAATTTCATGGTTTTAAGTAATTAGTTATTATAATATAACAGAATCTTGATTATGCGATTTCAACGGATGCTGCACCGGATAACGAAAACTCCCGATAAAACTCAACGATTCGTCGTTTAGTTTTATCTGAATTATCTAACAATATATTTTCAAATACGGCTGAACTCTAGCTGTAATCATTATTACAGCTAGAGTTTTAATTGTAAAACTAATTTATGTTAATATAAACTTTAAGGTGAAATTAAATAAAGTAATAGTTATAATTTGAAAAATACTATGAGAGAAAAGTTTATTTTGAGTAAATTTAATTCTTTCTACAATTTTTTTCTCGTAGGAGACATTTGATCATTTCTTGAAAAGCTGTTTTATAAACGCTCGGCTTGCGCAAGCCGACAAAAGACAAAAAAATAGCGATTAATTATTAATACAAGTGGTGTAATAATCGGGACTATATTTTATTATATAAATTCATTTGATGAAATAAAATATGCTATAAATATCATTTATTGTATTTATTTATCAAAATTTTTTACAGATGTTAAACAGGAGAAATCAGTGGAAATCTACGACATGTGTACAAAATTGGAAAAAGCTGATTGTGCCACCCAAACATTTACAACGTTGCTCAACAACGGAAACGATGTCAACAAATGTCAAAACGAAATAAATCTTTAGAATTCGTAAAATTATATCAAAATGAAAAATTTCCTATTTTTATGATTCATGAATCGAGCTTTATAAAATGTTACTTTGATAGGAAGCTCGATGTTGATGATGATATATTTATTATGTAAAATAGTGTATATATTTTTATTAAAATAGAAGAAGTTATTAAACAGTAGCTATGAGATATTTCGAATTTAATTATGTAATATTTTTATAAATATTTTTGATTCTAGTTTGTAAAAGTTGTAATGTATCTGTAGGTGTACATGTGGCATGAATTATAACTCATATAATGTAAATTGCAATACAGTATATTTAAATTCTTCTTTACTGTGATCCAGTGAATAATTACTGTTAATGAATTCTTGATGTAAAAAATAAAATATTTTATCTTTCAGTGTGTTTTTATTTCTTAAAGATATTATTTATTATATTTCGAATTAAATCGAATTTTAAATACCGGCATTACTAATTAAATATGTTTATTGTGTATTTATGTGTAATTAAATGCATATTAGTATAAAACATTTTTATCTTTATATAAAATAGCCGAATCACTAACCAAACTTTCTATTCAAGTCTTCGTCCAGCTACATTTTTATCCTTTCTCATGTTCTCACCGCTTCTCTACGAAGCGAACTTATTGTTATTCACAAACAATAAATTTCACACTGAATAATCTTTCTTCAACGACTTCCAGTGTAGTAGACAACTACGTTCTGCTAACATAAAGGATTCTGTGCTTGTTTTAGGTATAAAAACGTTTAATAATAACGATAAATAAAGATTATGAAACTAAGCTTTGCTTAAACCGCTAAAAACAACAGGCTAAACCCTTTTTTGGCAAGACACCTGTAACACCAGTTTTACCAAATATTACGCTGGCCAACTTCCTTCTCCAGATGACTTCTCTCGCATTACAAAAATGATTAGGCGATGTCGGCTCAGCAGAATCATTGCCGGGACGGATTTAGGATGGTACATAGGGAGCTGCTGCATCCTATGCTATTTTTTCCGGGGATTTTTTCTCGAGTAAAGCTGGGGACTTCAGGTAGCAAAAACTTTTTTAAGACATGTGTTTCGTTTCTACACCATTTCTGAAGTCTTCTGGATCGGCTATAGGTCATTGCTGATAGTAAAAGTTTAAAAATTTTAAAACTTAAACTTACTCATAAAAAATATTACCTCTCAATAGAAGCAATGAATTGCAGACGACAATCTTGTGTATCATATTTTTTCTACTAATAACGTTAATATTTTGTTATTATGTATGTATACGAATCTAAAAAGCAACACAAAAACAATTAATGGTAAATGTCTTAACTCAAAATTTCATTAACTCAAAACTTTTCTCTAGTCCTTCCGCTTAGAATTATCGAGAGTATGAATTGTAATTAAATTTAAGCCATATTACGTACATATAATGTAAACAATAAAAATTAAAGAAGATATTAAAAAGCGTTTATTAAAGTTAATTTAAATTTCGTCCTAAATATTTTAACTTTTAGTTTTAAAAAAAATAAATAATTTAATAATCTTCTCGGTTTTAGAAAATTATAAACACATCAATACAATGCAGAAACAAAAATCGTTATTTCTTTGCTATGATTATAATCTTAAAACAAAAAAATATAACTCTGAATTAAAAAATGACTTCTTAATGAAAAAATTGTAAAAATTTCTGTTTGTATCCTTGTCTATTTGAACCTTGATTATAAATAGGACTTATTATACTGGTCTCCACCAGTATAATAAGTCTTATTTATAATCAAGGTTCCGATTAGCAAATAGAGGAGATCTTAATCAAAAATCTTCTCTATTTGCCAATAGGAAACTACACCAGTATAATAAGTCATATTAATAAACAACGTCCAAGTAGACAAGGATACAAACAGAAATTTGTAAGAGTAAAGACATAGAAGTAAAAAAGAAAATTAAGGTATAAAAATATCCCTAATTTTTCGCGAGACTTTTTTTTTATACTCTTTCCGCCCTGTGGGCACTAAGAGGGCCTCTTTTTGCAAGCCCCGTTCCTCATCGCCCGCCAGGCCCACAATGGGGCTGCCGGGTGATGAGGAACTGGGCCCGACATATCCGAACGGACCATCCCCCGAAAAATTCCTGGAGATTTTTCGACCCGTTCGGATTTGATCCCGGGTCCCCCAGAGCGGTAGGCTGCCACCTTGACCGCTCGGCCATCCGGCCGCATATTTAGGATTTAATTATTTCAGTCGAAGCGGTAGGCTGCCACCTTGACCGCTCGGCCATCCGGCCGCAGTCTTCGCGAGACTGTTGGGCGAATAGTGATTAAATATTCGGTATTCGGCCGAATAGCGAAAAATAGGCCGAATAGGCCGAATACCGAATAGTAACCGAATATTCGTTACATCACTAATATTTATGTTTCTGGTGAATCTTAAGAGAGAAAAATTCATTAGCACTTATATTGTTCGTAACCATAATACAAAATTTAAATTAGGCAATTATGTAATCGTTAACTAGATAATTAGATCATTAATTCAAAACAATTATATATAAGATAGTCTTGAGAGCTTGTCTATATATTTTGCTAATTGATTTCACTGCAATTATTTACATTTGGTTTCCTAATTATCTTATTAAGATAATTATTATGGTAAAGCATCTGATAGAAGTTAAACTAATATTTAGAAATCAATTAAATAAATTTCTACTGAATTAAATGAACCAGATATTTGAATCATTTTATTTTTAAATTTTATTGATAATATTTACAAATAAAAATTTTATATAAATTGTATTCATTTTATTTAAAAGCTTTAGAAATATTTAATTATTTTTAAAAGTCATACTAGACATGCATTGATAGATAAACTTAATTTCCTAACAATTTTATTCATTTGAAACCAGGGTTTTTACCAAGAAGAGACCCACAGGGCCCAGGCACCTCTTATCTTTCTAAGTATATTAATTAAGTAATATATAAAACAAAAGGCTATAAATACCGTAACGACTTTTTCTAGTTCCTGTTCAATTTTGCATTATAGAAATGTTATTAAAAATATTTTGCGATAAAAAAAAAATTGTCAAGATTTGTTAATTTTTTAATTGTAAAATTAAATTAGCAAATAAACATAAGTAAAGGTATATTATTACTCAGGTGAAATTATAGCTTTTCTCGAGACATTGTTTTCTTATTATCGATCAATGTATAAAGCAGTTATACTAAAGTTGAACTGTTTTATACATTTAATTTATCCTACTATCATTATCTTCAAATATTACAGTAATATTAGAGTATTAGAGTATTACGACGATAGTTTTAAATTTTTATATACACGATTTTAACATAATTTAAAAACTCAATTAAATAAATATTAAACAAATACAAACCTATACTGTAAACAATTTTATTAACTTTTTCAAAACGTTTTAAGTTAATATCTTCAATGTTCATTTTCTCTAATATGTTTCTAGTCTATTCATTAAAACGTCCATTTAAAATAGTATATTTTTTATTTACTTTTTGAAACTTACTTCCTTATTCATTAATACTATTCTTTCTAATTCATACTTTTATAGAATAAACGGTTTTTTCTTACGATTTTTTTACAGCAGCTTTCAACTTTCAGTAACATTGTTTTTAATTGTTTAGTATCTTTATAATATAAAGTTTAAAAATATTCTTATTATTATTATATATATAGTAATTCTTTAGTTAGTAGTATAATTGAAATAGCAAATAATATTCTTTTCGGAATTTAACAATAAGTTTTATTTGTAAATTTGATATTAAATCGTTCGAACAACGTTCAACTTAAAAGATTTTTGTAAAGCTATAGGCCTAATAGTAAGTATTATTATAAATGTTTAAATTCATTGTATTTCAATGATATAACTATTCGGAATAAAATAATATTTAAATTAAATAAGTATTCTTGATTAATAATACTGTATACAAAATCAAAAGTCAATTATAGTTTGCCGTTTTGTATTTTTGTCTCTCCGTCATATGGGCCTTTTCCCCATACTCATTATGGATTTGGACAGACCCGCAGTGGAAAAAGTCAGGTGAAGAGACAAGGTGGTCCGAGATTAAATATTAAAAAATATAAAAATATTCATATATATATATATATAT